GCCCGCTCGCCCGGCAGGTTCGCCGCTGTTTGCGAGTGGTGCTGGCTGCTCCACACACTCATAACTTATCTTCCGAGCATGGGGGACGCGGGAAGAGAAGTTGCACAAGAATAAAAGGAGGCGTGGCCAGCGACCGAGGCGAACAGCCAGCGATGCCATCACGCAGCACAGCGACGGTGTAGCCACGGCGGCCACGGCCAGGGACGGTGTCATCGGCACAGACACCGCGGCCTGGATGGACTCAGACAGCCCAGCCAAGAGCCAACGTCCTTGGGGTCTGAAGTATGGATTTAAAATACATATGTATTTTTTTTTATTGATTTCAGAGAAGAAAGGAGAGAGAGATAGAAACATCGATGATGAGAGAGAATCATGGATCGGCTGCCTCCTGCACGCCCCACACTGGGGATCAAGCCCGCAACCCAGGCCTGTGCCCTGACCGGGAATCGAACTGTGACCTCCTGGCAACCCCTGAGCCACGCCAGCCAAGCTGAAATACAGTTTAAAAAAAAACAACCCATCACCTGAGGATAATTTTTGGGAGGGGGGGGGGGGGGGGGGGGGGGGGGGGAGAGAGAGAGAGAGAGAGAGAGAGAGAGAGAGAGAGAGAGAGAGAAAGACAAACACTGATGTGAGAGAGACACATCGATTGGTTGTCTCCCACATGCGCCCAACCAGGGCCGGGGATGGAACCTGCAACCCAGGTACATGCCCTTGACCAGGAATTGATCCCCTGTCCCTTCAGTCCTCAGGCCGACGTTCTAACCACTGAACGCACTGGTCAGGGCTGAAATGCAGATTTTTAAAAAATACTTTCTTTTGTAGATGGGTCTGCCCCCCGTTTGGAGCGTCCGGGGATGCTGTTGGGATAGGAATCTATGAAAGGCGAACACGTTGCAGGAGGACAGTAGACTTCTCAGCCTCCACCCTGTCACGCTTCCTCTCCCTCGTCCTCCCACAGGACCCGGTGGCCACAGTCAGAGCCCAGCACACAAGCTCCCCGCGCCCATGCCAGCGAGCCGCTCTGGGGCCGAGTTACTGCTGCGTCCTGTCTGCAGGCATCTGAGACGAATTGTCCAGAAACAGAACACTGGCCATTCAGCGACTGGAGGCTGAGACCCCTGCATTTCTAACGGAAGGAGAGAGAGGCGCTGTCATGGATCGTTTCTGTGACCACTGGCTGGGCATCCGGCAGACGAGGGTCCCTCGTGTGACTGGCTGCATGTGTAACTCCAGGTGTCTTGGTTGGGAATGAATGCTGCTGCTTGGGGGAGGGACAGGCGATTTTC